TAAAGATTATGGATACACTACTTAGCAATCTCTATAACGATCCTAAAACCGGTTTCGTCGGCGTTCAGAAGCTTTACGAGAGGGCTAAGAGCATCGAGTCTTCCATTCGTCTCAAGGATGTACGCAAATAATGTCGAAACGCAACAGTTTCAGGACCAAAAGCGAACATTCGATCAGTTCCACATCTCGAGCAACAATCCTGATTCATGGCAAATGGACTTGGCGTTTTGGGAGGGTAAGTCGCTGCTCACCGCGGTGAATATCAACTCTCGCATCGGCTACGTGGATCTAATCCCCAATAAACAGGGGGATACTGTAGTAAGAGCCCTCAAACGTTTCGTGAAGCTTCATAAGCCTCGAATAATCACGAGCGATAATGGCTCTGAGTTCTTGAATCAGCAAGTCCAAAGCTACTTCAAAAAGTCAAAAATTGATCATTTCAACAATGAACCTGGTGAGCACTCAACGATGGGTAAGATCGAACGATTCAATCGAACAATCAAGCAGCGTCTGATGCGGTCGGGCTTGAAGCTGACGAAGAAGTTGGTATCTGATTTGGTTGATAACTACAATTCTACAATCCACAGCGCTATTGGTATGACTCCAAATGATGCTAAGGGGACTATTATTCAATCAGAGCTTGATCATAATCAAAAATTGCTACGCAAGATTGATAGTGAATTCTCACTCGGTGAGACGGTCGTGTATCGACTCAAGCAAAAGCAGTTTGGTAAGGAGTCCGCTAAGTGGGGGACTCTTGTCTATGAGGTAGTTGGCATGGATGGGTATAAGATTCAGATCCGATCCAAGAACGGGCACATCCTCTATAAGGGTCCAAACGATCTTAAACGTACCAACCTCGGTATTAGCAATGTCAACCCAGAGAAGGGGCAGATATACGAAGCTGAGCAGATATTGAAGCATAAAAAAATGCGCAACGGTAAGCTACGGTATTTAGTAAAGTGGAAGGACTACGTGGAACCTTCATGTGAGTCTCAAGACAATCTACGACTGATCAACAAAAATGAAATGAGCACGCTTGAGAAGGAGTACAGCTCAAATATTAAGCTTTGATAGATCGAGAGGACACTTGGCTACTCGGGGTGGAGTAGGAGGTTCGATCACGTAGGGTTTATCTTTTTTTAAACCGATGGGTGGAGTTGGTTTCTCTTCGATATGACTATTTGTTGTCAAGACTGATGTGACGACGCCTCGCCAAGCGACCGTGTGACGCGAACGCGTCATCAGTGAGGTCGGCGTGACCTTCACTGTGTTGTACCGCAATCATTCAGGTGATTACGGGACGATGATTACGTCACGGTGATTACGCCATGATTGTGGGTACAGGATTGTGGGTACAAGATGGGCATCGACGTGGCGTTCTCTGATTGGATAAGGTAACTGTGTATCCAGTAGAGAATCCAGTAGGGTGTACCCAGTAAGAGGTATCCAGTAGCAGGCTTAGAGGTAGCACGCGGTTGAGAACTAAGGACCTGAATCGAATCACTTTGCATTTTGCCAACTACTGCTCAAGTGTTCTTCCTTTTCTATTGTCATATACACTGGATACGTCCTCTGAATCGGAATCGACATATTCAATTTCAAAATCCATCACAAAATATTGGACTATGTATATATAGAGCGTAATTAATTGCGATGACTCAGTGCAAGTCAATGACCCAAAATGATAAACCTTGCTCCCGGAGCGCCCTTAAATCTGATTTCTGTGAACAGCACGACAAGGATGCTAAAATTATCATGTATCGAAAAGAACTGACCAAGATGCATCAGCGCGTAAGGCGATATTTAGAAATCAGCAATGATCTCCATTCGAAGATGATGGATATTCAAAGGCTTGACTATTACAAGTCTGAGCTGATCAAACTCGCCGGTAATGGAGTACCATTCAGGGCAATACTCAGCAATTCTTATTTTAAGGATCAGATCGAAGCGTTATTTGAAATGAGTATGGCTGAAGCTCGCGATGAGTATGATCGCCTGCTCAAACGGAGAAATCAGTTGGTCCATCCGCATACTATCGATGGTTGGGCTGGTGTGCGATATTGTAGAATTTCATGCTAATGACCATCAATTGTGATAAAAATAATATTTTTTTGCCGAAAGGATGTCTCTTAAGCTATAATCTACGATGTTTCCATCTTTCACAAGCCTATCACAGAGAGAGCGCAAACGCCAAGAGCTACTTCGCGAGGCGGAGAAGGAGCTTGCTATCGAGCGAAGTCTCAATCAGCGATATGCTGAAACGATGTGGGCGGCTGATAACGAAACCGGTACGATTAGCTTGACGCCTTCGATGGTATCAGCATCTACGCAAACAACTACGTCCTCTACTCCGGCTGCTACCACGGCGACTGCTCCTGGTGTTTTTTCCGCACCAGATAGTCTAACCCGAGATATTAGCGTACCTGCAACGGTATCCTCTTCTAACGCTTCTGATATGGTCAATCTTGACACTGATCATATCATGTACCGTCCCGACGAAACTATGGATGAAGTCGTATCCAAAAGAGAGGATGCTCAGACGAAGTCATACAAAGCGGTACAAGCATTGTATCAACAGAACCCAGATATTGCTGGATGGGATCTTCATCCTCTTTTCGATCCAATGCAGGTATCTGATGCCAAAGCCAAGCGGGATATGTACTTTCTAGGCCCTGATGCTAAGCTATATCACCGATCGACCCGCAAGGCGGTTCGTAAGGACAAGCAAGAAGATTTGATTGATCTAATCGATTGGGAGGCGACATTCGCATATATCTTTGAGCGGATACGACTGGTTGATGGTCATTCAAAGGCGCGAGAAGTACGTGAGAAGCTTGCGGCAAAGCGCGGAGTATTCAATGCTTTGAGAGATAATGTTGGAAGCGACGAGAGAGATCGCTTAGGCGAGAGTCGATCCACTCTCGATTCGATTATTGATCACGTCGTCGCTGAAAACATGTCGAAGGACTCGCGCACCAATGATATCGAAGTAGATGCTAAAAAAACGTTCATGCAGATCGTCAAAAACAATCGCAAAGTCATTAATGACAGCCTTCTACATGGTTTTAATGGCAAACCTGGTTTTTACGCGGTAGGTGTTGTCAAGACTGATGTGACGACGCCCCGCCAAGCGACCGTGTGACGCGAACGCGTCATCAGTGAGGTCGGCGTGACCTTCACTGTGTGGTACCGAAATCATTCAGGTGATTACGGGACGATGATTACGTCACGGTGATTACGCCAAGATTGTGGGTACAAGATGGGCATCGACGTGGCGTTCTCTGATTGGATAAGGTAACTGTGTATCCAGTAGAGAATCCAGTAGGGTGTATCCAGTAAGAGGTATCCAGTAGCAGGCTTAGAGGTAGCACGCGGTTGCGAACTAAGGACCTGAATCGAATCACTTTGCATTTTGCCAACTACTGCTCAAGTGCTCTTCCTTTTTGGTTATGAGCCCAAGCCCCGTCTTCCCTGACCAAGACCCCGACTACGCCTTCGCCATGGACGCCGCCCCAACCGCGACCGCCCGCATCAACAAGTTCGACGGAACCAACTTCCACACATGGAAGTTCAAGATGCAGATGGTGCTGGAGGAGCGCGAACTGTGGGAAGTGACGAGTGGGGAAGTGAAGCTCGAGCAGTGCACGACCGCGGCGGACCAAGCGACGTTTCGCAAGAAGTCGCGCAAGGCGCTGGCGATCGTCTGCCTCGCGATGGAGGACTCGCAGCTGCCGCTGGTGCGGTCGGCGAAGGACGCGCATGATGCATGGTCAAGACTCGAGGGACACTTCGAGAAGAAGAGCCTGGCGAACAAGCTCTTTCTTCGTCGACGGTTCTTCACGACAACGATGGACGAAGGTGATGATGTGCTGGAGCACATTAACAAGCTCAAGACGCTGGCGGAACAGCTCGACGCGGTCGGCGCTCCGGTCAGCGAGGACGACTTGGTGATCACGCTTCTTGCCAGTCTGAGCGAGTCGTACCAGTTCCTCATCACGGCGTTGGAATCGCGTTCCGACACGCTGACGTGGGAGCTCGTGACGTCTCGGCTCCTGCACGAGGACATGAAGCGCAAGGAACAAGGTGGCGGTGCTGACGGAACCGCGCACGCTCAAGGTCAAGCGTTCATGACAAGCGACAACGGGAAGCGCAAGGGACGGCAGGCGCAAGCGCAGAGGACGAGCGCCTGTCACTACTGCGGCGAGCACGGACATTGGATCGCCAAGTGTCCGGTGCGGATCCGCGAGAACGGGGAGCGGCAGAGGCCGCAACGAGCGAACGTCGCGCAGGTCGAAGATGACTCTGGCGACTTCCTCTTCTCGGTTGGTGGCGACACGGGTGCCTCCAAGCTGAGCGGCATGTGGTTGGTCGACTCGGGTGCGACGCAGCACATGACGTACTCGAAGGAGTACATGAAGAACTACAAGAAGATCTCTCCGGTGGACGTGCATCTGGCGGACGACGGCGTGGTTCAGGCGGTGGGGAGCGGCGACATCGTGATGTCGATGCAGACACCGCGCGGCATGAAGAAGGGTGTGCTCACGGGTGTGTGGCACATCCCGAAGCTGTCGCGCAACCTGTTCTCCGTCGGCCGCTTCACCAAGGACGTCGGGCCAGTGACCTTCGAGAGCGACGGGTGCTTTGCGGAAAC